AAAATCTTCCCCTAAATTCCCAGCAATTTTTCCTCAGACTGAACTATATAGAAATATATATAATATATATATAATATATGGAAATATTTAAAAATATATGTTTTCCACCCACTTATAATCTTAGTTGTTTTAAATCATAACATTACCTAGCTATAAAACATTTTAGCACAAATTCTGAAGTAAAACAAAATTAAAAATAAGCATTTATTTATATATTGATCCATATTTATGCATTATATGCTTCATATAAATTAATATGCATTCAATCTATATATAAAAGAGAGTGTGTGGTTTGGTATCTATGACTTATTTATAGAGCAACAATTACTTAACATGAAATAAAAACACTTAAAATATGTGTTTTTCAGTTTATGAATATTTTATCACCAAAAAGATACAAAATATATAAATAGAAGTATTCAAATTTTGGATATATTTATTCATGTTAGTATATGTGGGCTCTGTACTTCTGATAGTTGTAGTTCACTAACATGTAATACAGATGACAAAACCATAAATGTCAGGACAGAAATGTGATCTAGTTTAAGTGATAAATTTGGTAGATTATATGAAAGGCTCAATCTCACATATAAAGGTATTTAGGTATTCACTGTATACTTATTAGTTTTTATGTTATATTTGTATGATCAGAAAGTTGGTGAAAAATGAACAAGGTAAATGAAACAAGGTTTTTGTCCTTAATGTTTGATAAGCATATATACAAGCATGTTTATTAACGTTCTCTCTCTCTCTCTCTCTCTCTCTCTCTCTCTCTCTCTCTTCCTCTCTGCTCCAAAGCTCCATTCTGACTTAGATAAGGGAGAGGGCACTGTTAAATATACCCTCTCAGGAGATGGCGCTGGCACCGTCTTTACCATTGACGAAACCACAGGTGACATCCATGCAATCAGGAGTCTGGATAGAGAAGAGAAACCTTTCTACACGCTTCGTGCTCAGGCTGTGGACATAGAAACCAGGAAACCCCTAGAGCCTGAATCAGAATTCATCATCAAAGTGCAGGATATTAATGATAATGAGCCAAAGTTTTTGGATGGACCTTATGTTGCCAGCGTTCCAGAAATGTCTCCTGTGGGTGAGTAGGCAAATCAAAATTCTGTCAGATGCTATGAAGTCTTTTCAACATCATTTTCTGAAGGTTGAATTACACATCTTATTTGTAACTCTAAACACTATCTTCCTCTGCTGAGGATACAATTATTTTCATTTTCACAGTGTTGGAAGTGACTGTCATTCACCAAATACCAGATAGTAATCCAGGTCTCAAAGTAAATTATCTAAAGCTTGTGTGGCACCTGAGTCTGGAATTGGGCCAGAAAGGGTTGTGCTACTGCTTTGTATTTAACATATAGAGGCCCCAGTGGATGACACTGTTTCCATTGTAGTGATAGCAGCTACCCAGAACAGGGATGCCTTCCAGCCACGAAGCCAGTCGTATGTGAAGTAATTTCAGGGTAAATTTACCATTAAGTTGTTAGTATCCTCATCCTTAATAATTTAAATTTGTTACACATTTGCATTTAGTACACACCGAAATTTATAAAATTCTATGGTATGCATTTAAGGTCAATGAGTTCAGGGCTTCAGTTTTACTGGCTATCCCATTCCAGCTTTCATTCCACAGTTACTACCATGTTGTCTTAATTTACCTCAAGATGACTTCTGGGTTCTAGCACACATGTACTTAAAGTTACAGATCACTTCTAGGTCACAACGTCACACAGCCACTCCGGAAGTTCAAGGAGTGTTTGGCAGATGCTCTGATGAACTGGGGAGATTGGCGGCTACGGAAATTGCCACAAGGATTTACTGCTGATTCATTGAAATTGTGTTTCCTACCATAGCAGGCAATCACCAGATTGTCTACTTGACCCAAGAAATTGGCTCAAAGTAGCTCACTTGGATTTTTTATATATATTTATACATACTCAGGACTATACATAGGTTAATCAGTTACTGCTGCATTTTTTGAATAATTGCTTTTATGCCTTGCTTCCTTGGCTGGACAGTTAGAGGTACAATTGGGAAGAAGCATGTATTATCAGACAATGTTAATATTAACATTACCCAAAATGGAATTTTTTTAAATTGTGCCATGATTTAACAGGGGGAGAAAACTGAAGAGAGTATTTTGAGGAAAAAATAAAGATTTGAAGAAGATAATATTATTTAATATGCAAATAATATACTCCACGCTGACTTGATGTAAACTGGATTGTATGACTCTAAGTGACTATTAATGAAATGGCATTCTTAAAGTAAACCCACCTCTGCAGTGCTAGAAACTTCTGCCTTGTTAGATAAGTAGTGAGGTCTCTTGTGCCAAATAGGATAGATACAAAATCTCTATATAGGGAGTTCACAACTACTGTTTGGAGAGAGAAATAAATTTGGAAAATCAAGAGGTGGATGTGCGATTAAAAAAGCAGTGATAAATTTTAAGGATTAAGATGAGACATAACTGTGCTGCCAGGCAGTATCAGAAAAGATCTGTGGGAGAATAGGTTCTATAAAGAGTTGGAACATGTGTCCTGTGGATGTTTCTCACTGGTTGTTCAAGAGACTCTAGTAAATACTTCAGCTTCTTCTACACCTGATATAAATTTCCTCTCTATTCTTGGATCACATTCGCATAACATGCTCTTTTCAAATACACACTAAGATGTATAAATATCACTTACAAAGTAGACATAGAAATTAAATATGTCTCATACAGCGCCTGTGATTCTCTGCAGTACTGTCTATATACATGGCACATGAGTGACTTGGTGGTCGGAAGTCCTGAGGGATTACAACTGAGATGAAAAAAATGCACAGACTGAAGAATAATGTAGAACAATAAAGTGATAATTAATAATAATAATCATAATAACAAAGAAGAACACAGAAGACCCAGTTAAATTTCTGTCATTCATGTTTCTGCATTCACACATCAAAGCAAAGGCAAACCAAAAACTACTCTGCACTCAGTATTCATATTTCTGATCCAAGAACACCTGATTCTGGTCCATGCACACCCAAAGTCCAAGCATACCCTTCTTACAGTATGGACATGGTTACTACAATTGTTAGTTTCCCCAAAGATTATTATTCTCTTTTCTTTCCCATATCCTATCTAGGCAAGTTCTACCTTCATATTTTATTTTCTTTGGAAAGTCAAAATGATGTTTAGTCAATACCAACCAGATGGGTCTCACCATATTAGTTAGTGTAAGAATTGTGACGAATATGACTGTCAGTTTTACAGATGCATTTTATATGCGCTTCAGGAAATAATAAGCTTCTTAATGATAATGTTGCTTTTACAATTTTAACAAGAAAGGATAGTCAACCAATTAAAATCATATATATGTACATATATACAGATATGTATTACAAAAGACACACTTCATCTAAGCAAATTTTATTATACAAATATAAACTTGATAATAATGGATTATGCATCAACGCATATTATAAACAAAGCTTGAATGGAAAATAAGTATGGTGAAAATTATAAAGGATTTAAGTATACAAAGGAGTGTAAGCAAGATAAGACTAGATTTGGGGGAAGTAAACCTTCAAGACTTATAAAACCATGAAATATATTTAGTTTCCAAAAGTTAAGGAAAATCTTACTGAACCTATGGATTGTTTAAGAAAAAGGTAATTGTGTTACTAACTTATGCTACATCCAATATTCCAGGAAGTCAAATTCAGAGATAAACTGCTTTTTGTCTGACCTAAGGAAATTACCTAATGAGCCAGATATTCCCCAATTCACAGTTATTCCTTGGAGACAAATTGGATGTTATAAATGTGGTCTTAATTCTTTAAGATCACTAGAGTAACAATGAAATACAGTAATGTTCTCTCTTTAATGTCTGATGAGTATGCATCACTTAGCTATGCAGTTGAAGTTACTCTTCCTAGAGTCTGACTGGCTTAACATCTTTAACTCCATATTCACACTAACACTACCTACCTCTGTCTGAGCTACACCACCTGAGACAGCTGACTGGACTCTTTGTAACCAGGTCTCTCTGACAAGTGTGAATCTTAGTTGTTGTAGTAAGACCTACCACTTGCTACACAATAGTTAGGGGGAAGATGATCTAACTGGAGGTGTTTTTTTATTAATATTTATTTATTTATGCATACAGAACTGGGGTACAAGCCAGAGGTGCAGGGGTGGTGAGAGGATTCACCAGAGACAGAGTGGGGAGCAGAACAGGCAGATCGATCAACGAAGTACACTGCTGAGGGGAGCAGCGGGCAGGTCAGGAGAGGTCTGCCACGCCATGTGGTCACCTCCGGGGCAAACAGGGATAGAACTCATGCGGAAGTGGCTTCAGCTTCTTGGTGCTGTGCTTTAACCTACTGTGCCACCAGAGAGGGCCTAACTGGAGGTTTTTATCCCCTACTTCATTTCACCATCACGATGATTTCATGTATGCTCTTTACTATTTAATCTTTATTTTTATATGAAAATTTGACTTCTATGTATTAAAGGATCACTCTCACATTTTTAATTAATTTTAGTTAATTGCATATAAATTTAGCTAAATTTAAATTTAGTTTAATTTAAATTTATAGGTGTAATCAATTTTTACCTTTTTCTAGGGTTAGTGGCTTCTAAAATGTCTTCTGGAGTATTTAGTTTTCAATATCAGATGAACTGGTTAAGATTTCATAGTGTTTAAATGAGTAATTCTTCATTTCTTTTGAATTCAATTTATATTATGTTGAGCTGAATCTTCATTTTGATATGAGGCCAAAGATGACCTAGGACATATTAGTAAATTCAGAATCTAATTTGGCCAAAATAATGGTTTTTGAGACACCTATGCTATAAAGTCTTTTTATGCCTGCAATCATTTACCAAACATGACTTCTAGAAGAGAAAGACAAAACTCCAGAAACATGATCTAGTCATGAAGTATTTGGGTGATGAACTTTTTGAGTTCAAATCTCTTCTCTACCATTTCCTCTTGTGTATATTACCATAAGCTATTTAACCTCTTTATGTTTTGATTTCCTTGCCTTTAAATGAGGAATGAAAATACTTACTCCCAGAGTTTTTACAAGTAGTGAAGGAGGAAATATATGCACAGCATTGATAAGAATGCCTGGAATCTTTGATCACTAAATGTGGATCTTGCTAGTAATTTGATGCTCATTCTCTGGGCATGTGTAGTGATAAGACCAGCTACCTAGCTGACACTTTTTATTTATGCAATCCCTCCTTTTGACACATGAACTCAGTATTTACTATTATCTTGGCTACAAACTATACCAAGTCTATTTAAAAGCCTAATAGACTTTCTATTCCAATTTACATTTTCTTTGGTGTAGAGTACTCTTTTACCTTAATGTGTGGAGACAAGCTGTTGATTTGTCAGAAGTACCAATTATCAGATTCCGCTTCTGCTTTGCAATCTGCTAAGTCGCTTTAACACATTTGATGGAATTGAGCAAGGCCTGGCGATCCCCCCATGTCAGCAGCGAAGTGCCCACAGCACACATCACGGCAGAGCTATTTTCAGGGCCATAGGACGTTATGACTATGAGTTCAGGGAGCATTTTATTCTTCTGTTTGATTCCTATGTTTTTATTAGTCGGTACAATTGCAAAGGTAATGCTATCGACAGTTTTTGTGTAGCCTTGAGAGAAGTATATGAATTGTTTAAGTGGCAATGCAGCGTGTCCCCAAACATAAACCATTCCACATTGATAGTCGCTTAAGCAGCCACTGATCAGCAATAAATGTTAAAAATTAACAAGAAGTTCCTGTTTTTTCCTAACCACCAAATGACTCTAAGCATTAAATATATGTTAGTAGGTTGCTTCTTGGCCACTGAGTGGTTCGAAACATTAAACATATTTTCCAAGTATTACTCTTTCCCTGGCCTCCAAGTGGCTGTAAACATTAAATATGTTTTATAAAAACTGCTTCGCCAGCTACTGGCTGGATAGCTATGAACATCATTTTTCTTTAAAGTTGCCTTCCAGCTGTGGGACTGTTTTTCCTTATTTGTTCTATTCTATTTATTTTTGCACACAAAAAGCAGGGAAGAGGCTAGGTTAGCCCTATTG